CCCCCCCCCATTTACTTCTACTTTATCTATTTCATCTTTAATTATGTGCCACATGAGAGACAGGAGACTCAATTCATGGCGAACTCCATTTCGATTGTGAACACGATAATTGCTCGAACTCTATACAACTTTTTACAGATATATTTTAATTGATGCTTTCTAATCATCCGAGCGGAGCTTTTATCTCATTAAGAAAATTGAACAAAAAGGAGCCAACCTCTTGGCTAAAATTTTTATCAAGAAGCGACCTCTTCGCGAAATAAATACTAAAAATTGGTAACAGCCCTTGAAGAATATACGTGGGCATAAATTTCTCCGAATTTTGGCTTCCACAACACATACGAGTTAAAATAGTTTGAAGTGTGGAACTGCTCGAATAAATGTATTATCCAACTTCAACCATTCACACACTTAATCCAGCATAATGATTTGTTTCGATAACCCATGCAATCCAACATCTACTTGTTGATATCAACGCTTTTCCACAAGATCACCCTTCCCTTCTTCTACCAGCAGCTGATAGCACCTAGCTGGAAGGCAAATAGTTTTGCCGCCTCTCTAAACCGGAGTCTATTCAGCCTGAAGCAAAGCATAATGAACTTCAACTCAATGACATAGTTAAGACAGGCCATATAAATTTATATATATATATATATATATATATATATATCCTCTTTAAAGGCTAAAACATGCTTTGTCAAGGGATTGAAAACAGAAAGAAGGGGTAACAAATATATCAGTATCAGTAATATGAAATGTGTGGAGGGCGCATGCTGTCTTTGAAGGTTACTGTAGTCAGTATCAAACAGAAAATAGCAGTAGATTCGAAGAAGCATACGGACTTTATGTCACCCAAAAAGGAATTCTCACAATAAATGGGTAAATCATCGAATGAGTTGTACTGGAATCATAACAATTTAGCCTATCCTCGATACCTGAGGTTGACGCCAGGTATAGCTTTAGTAATAATTTATAGTTAAACCATGAAGTAACCAGATACACTAAGACCGGTGCCTTAAAAGTATACAAACTTTCTGGCATAAAGTAGACTAATTTGAGCAATAGCATAGCCATATTCAGTGACAGCAACGACTTGGTGATCGAATAAAGATATATAGAGCAACAAGTCTTAAAACCATAATAAATGCACATACAAAGGACTTTAATAAACAATTGACACGAAATTAAGTATACTGTACAATGGTATTGAAAGTTCACTGAATATATTTTTTCATAAACTTCTTGTGGAACTCCGACCTCAGGGTATCATTGACGAATCCTCTCTTTGAGTGATCGACTTCTCCACGAGCACAATTCTTGAAGACAACATCATCATCCCAGCGTCGTTTCACTTTAAACTCCGCCGAGCTTTCAGTGTTCAGAAGGGGATTCCCTTTAAGAATTTTCTCCATTCTGATGGTCTCCTCAGCAGCCCTTCTGTCGGCGGCAGCTTTGATCGCCTCTTCCACTCTTTCTTGCTTAATTTTGGCCAATTCTGCCAGAAGAGCCTCTTCGTCGTCATCATCATCATCATCCGATGAGGAATTAATATCTTCATCATCTTTAGGCATTTTTTGATCTTCTTCTGTATAATCCTCCTCCCACGGGTCATCTGCATCAAGATTGGCAGTTGGAATGGCGGAAACAACAACAGCATGCTTGGGACGTTTGGAAGTAGTTCCGCCACTGCGATCTATGTCGGCGACCGCAGCTATAGATCGTTTTTCTCCAGAATTAGTTAATGCAGAGAGGTTTGATCCCACTGAATTACCCTTTTTGGTGGCCTTTTCAAGAGCTGCCTGTCGCTCTCGTTCCTCGAGATCGCGTTTAAAGTCCTTTCCCTGAAGTTCCTCTGGTCTGCCTTGGCCTTCTTGACGATACTTTAGTTTAGTGTGAGATGGAAGATCACGGACAGAATATTGCCTGGAAAGAGCACTTAAATCACCTTCCCACTTGCCTTTGCCACCCTTGGCCGTATTCCAAGTCGGTCTCCCAGCGGTGGTCATCACAACGACAGACGCAAGTAGAAAATGACAAATGCGGCGCTCCAAGTTAGTTAGGTAAAACAAAAGTTGTTATAAAAAAGAATAATAGTAAAAAGCCTATTTAATTTAGTCGCCTTAACTACGCGATAGCAAGTTTCATTTTTTTATATATTTAACTTTATTGCAAAAGATGTTGATAATGCACATATATGAAAAATGGTTTAGATAGCGCATACCTCAACAGTATTAATTGGCTTAATAAAACGAGGTATTGTTGTTTCTCACTTATATAATTAAATATATTCTCATCTTTGAGCAATTACTAGGAAATCATTTAATATGGACGCACTGCAGCATTGATTTCACAACAATATTAATTATACAATTAAGAAGGATATAGCTTTCACCTAAAATAGATTCCAATAAAAATGTATTTCGACCAATAGAACCTTCTTCCTATTATATTACAAGATTTCATTGTTAGCCAACTTTACGTAGTTGGCTTTCAATTGAAAAACACCCCCAATTTTATTTGAGTAATTGTATAAATATTTAGAGCAACTTACAAATAAAAAACCATAAAGTTGGAATATATCGGAAACCTATTTTAATCGGAAAGCGGAAAGCCAAATTTCCTTCCGATTCATGTTTAAATTGGAATATTTTAATGGCTAATGTATCAATATGATAAAACTTGGTCATTGCTGACTTTAACCAATTATTCCGCTGAAACAAGGCAGACCCATTTATTGATGCATTAAATTGCTGAGTAATATTGTGGGACACGTCATCGCATGCGCGTACACATAGGCTTGAGGTGCGGCCGTACAACTTCGCGTACGGATTGAGGACAAGAGCACACAGCCAATAGCAGCTCAAGGGCCCTCGTTTGTTTTACCGAAAGCCGCCATGTTGTATGACTGAGTTTCCTTCCTGTACATACTTCTTGCGAGGTTTACTGAATGAACGTGCTCCATGCTGCACGTCTGTTTTCCTTTATGGCTGGGCTATAGCTTAGCTGGTTCTGGGAGTCTGGCTAGATGTTGGAGAATTTGCCATAGAGATTTCTGAGTCAATCAGGCTTTACTAAGGTAGCAATCCGCTACAATATCTTGCCCTTACCACGTCACCGTAAATATTTTTTTAAATTTCATCTATTTATTTAGTTAGTCGCTGATATTCAGAGTAAGACGTGACGGAAAGAGGTTGGAAGTAATATTTCACCAATGTAAAAGAAACTTGAACTAGACAAATAAGGATATAAAAATTGATAAGTGTTAAGTTATCACTTCTCTATTTAAATACATGTAGATCTTCGAACTACCTACATGCTTATTGTTAGCACCAACTGATCAAAATACGTAGCATTTATTTAACAGTTCCCTCTCAATATCAATATATTTTATTATCTCTGATAAAGCATTCACATTTGCAAAACCCAGACAGATATATTTGGTATGCAAAGTATCATTTTTCATTCAATCAAATAATTCAGAGGGTTTCAGGTCAATATAGAAACTTATATGAGAAAATTCAAATAATGTATCAGAAGCATACAACCATTTTCTAAAAGAGCACAAATTTTCAAAAGCCAAATATCATTATTATTGCGATGGTTAAACAAATAAATAAAATCTCACTTTTACATGTTTTTTTTGGTAAATATGTTTGGTCTTGACACTTTACCAACGACGGATTCTGCTATTAGTTCATACCTTACTTAAAAATTTCTGAGGTTTATTTCAAATTTTTGAATTTGTTATTTGCGTCATTGCATATTCTTGCCGATTTTTATGAATTTGAATTTTTAAAATAAATGCTGCAACTACAATAGGAAATAAATTTCATTTGACTATTAAGATTTGAGTAACTTGCATATCTGGGCAATTTCATTATTAACAGAAATTACGCATTATAAATCGCAAAAGAGGCAAAATTACCTTGCACGGTGTATTCGGTCTAAAAATATTTAGATCATATTTAGAGATTTTTACCTCGAATAATAACAATATATGTATACATAAGAGAGTAATTAAATTTATTAATAATATCTATAATATTTAAGTAAACTAATTATATATGGTAATATGTAACATATTTTCTATAAATATGAGTTTTACATTTTGTTAACATTTTTGTTTTTACGAACTAACCAATTTGTCCTACAGAAACTCGTTACTGACATAGTTCGTATTGTATTCTTTGTGTTTGGCCATCATGAGTAAGGCTCCCGAGATAGTTTCTGAGGTTGCTGATTTCAATAGAAGTGGTCTTAACCACGTCGAACCAGAAGTTAAAAATCCTTTGCCTACACCTGATGGTAAGGAGATTGGCGTTTTACTCATTTGTAGATGTTGCAAAGGAGAAAATTGAGGCTGATCTCATGAAGGAGATCGAACAAGGTACTAAGCTGAAACATACGACAACCACCGAAAAAGTGTACATTCCTTCGGCAGAAGGTAAGTTGCCAACGCAGATCGGTGATCTGCGTTTTAATTTGTTCTGCTTGCCGTCTTGGTTTGCTAACTGTTGATCTCTTCTTTCTCTATCCGATTCTTTTACTTTTCAGAAATTAAGGAGGAAAAAATTGAAGCTCAAAAGAATCCCCATGCTAGATCGTAAAGATCGTCATTTTTGCGTTATTTCGATAATGTAATGCTTTTATTAAATATACATTCCTTCCCATTCAACTGCATTTGTTTTTTCAAAACTGTGGGTTAAAATGTTTTCTCTAAGCTGCTACTGAGGCTCTCGTCTTTCGCTTCCTTAGTTGTTAAGGATTGATTTTAATTGATGAGAGGCGTTATCCATGGCCTTAACACTGTGGCCGTCGCATGTTCTACGTCGAGTAGCTATAGCTCTGGGTACTGTCTCAGTCTGCAGATTTTGATCCTGCCCCTCTGATTTCTGTATAACTTACTTGAGGTGGTTGCTCTGAGCAATTAGTTAGCAAACTGCTGCTTCGTAAATACATGTGGATCGCCTTAATCGCCACTACAGGGCGCATTTGCATTTTAAACACTTAGAAAGCAGGTGGACGTCGGTTTTGTTATTGTTTTAGTCTGCAAAATATCATTTAATGATTTCATGTATTAGACCGAGATCTTTTCTCAATTTTAAAATGGCTATTGGTACGCACATTTTTCATCGCAAGATCATCTGCAAATAGTCCAACTCTGCAATTATTAAGGTGATCAAGGAACCAAGTCCAGTGGTAGGATAGCTATCCCCCCTTTAGTCTGTTTTTGAAAGCTGCGAAATTCAAATTACTTACCTTAGTACTATTTGATCACACCAATTGAGGGTAACAGGCCTGGTCTCCGCCACTCCGCAATTGTTTCATACCGTTCGTCGGTCTTGAAATTAGCGCTTTACAGCTATCTTAGAACAATTTCCAAATTATTATGCTAACTAAGGTCTTAAACACCTGAGCGCATATTGAGCGTGAAGAAACATTTATCTTAACCACAATCTTACTACTTATCACCTATTTCGTCTCCAACGATAACAAAAAATTGGCATTAAACTTGGAAGATGAATTTGATATTAGAAACATCTTACTATGGAATAAACGTATTTACCGATTTGGTACCACTGACTATTACTTAAGCTTAACTGGTCTACTTACCGCCGATATTAGACACTCTACTGTCTAGTCAAGCCTTAGCATTTGAACCTTGTAAGATTAGAACAAGACACCACTATTTATAGCTTTTCACCAAATAGTACACTGTCTGAGGAATTCACGCCCATTTTGGTGTCTCAATCTTATTTTTTTACATATTCAGCAGCCCCCCCTCTCCTCCTCCCTCTTTACCCCTAACTGAATCAATTTATTGTTTCACGTGTCTTGATTTATTTCACCATCCGCAATTACAAGTTTTCCTGCTTTCTAATTTGGCAATAAGGGGTGTGCGATAGACTTACCTCCATGTGGTGCTCCCTGGGCAACGTATGCTCATACGGCAAAAAGTCTATTATTCGGCAGTTGACTTCTGACTTCAAACTACTATGACCCCACTGTAAGTCATTTTCGACCACTTTTACGGTACTCATTTTACCTTTTTTCTACCTTTGTGTCTGTCTCTTTTACATCTTTAAACCACTCTTGCGTTCCTCCCTATCGACTTTTTCACTTTGATGTTCCTCCTCCCCTCTATGAAGCCCGTAGTCAACTAAAGGGCTAAAGATACCTATCAAAACGCCTGCCATTTGATATAAATAAAAATTTGGCAATAAATATTGGTCATAATAATGAAACA